ATGAATACTTAAAAAATGTGTCTGTGCTGTTTTCATTCGGTCTGCATGACTGTATGATTTACCTGGTGGATAAACAGGTGACTCCTTCTTGGTGTGCTGAGAGGATTTCTGCTCCTGCATGCTGTGACTGTCAGTTATCTGATTCCTCTGACTGAACTGAGCAACAGGAACTATAACAGGTACTGTTAAAGGAAAAAGATGTAGTCTGTACTTTTCATGTTTTATCATGCGGATTATTAAAGAAAAATATAAGAATTGCATACCCGTTTGCTTTACTTCCTCAATGTACTTTTTTAAGGAGGGCTGGTCAGTTTTCTCCATCTTCTGCTTCTTCTTCAATTTAAAATCTGTGGCATAAAAACATGTGCAACTTTTGGACATAATCTAAAATGTCATATATAAATTTATTTTACTTAAATATATTTAAGTCTGTACTTACCTGTCTCTATTAAAGTGTCTGAACTGGATCCATCAGTTTTCCCCATCACTCCGCTGGTGTGGTCAGTGAGCATGTGATGGCTTTCCAAACCACTGACTGTGATAACTGAACTGCAAGATGACCCATAATCTAAATCCTCTGTTGGAGGATTATTGATCTCTGTTGGATCTCTCATAATCACAGGCTGGAGGTCATGGTACCTTAAGAAGTGTGCTAGTGTTACGTTAATATTTTGACACCATTATTAATCTAGTATATGGTGCAATAAGTTACTATTTAAGAGGCAAACCTTATGAAAAGATTTGGAGAACAGACTAAAGCAGTATTTAAGATTTATTAAATGAAATTTACATTTTACAAGAAAACACAAAACTCACTTTTTTCTGGTGTAAGTTCTCTTTATTTTCTGAGAGCTTGTCCCATCATTCTGAAATGCAATAACACAAATGCAATAATAAAATCTGATGATATCATGTTTAATTTTATTAACTGCCTAAATATATATCTTATCCGCTGGCATATTGATGCATAACTCAAGTTGAGGATGCTTGGTCTTACTTTGGATGGTTTCGTTCCACTACCTTCAGCCTCTCTTCCCAAATCTTTTATGACATCTGTTGAAATTGCAATCAATTTTTTAGAATAAATATATATATATATATATATATATAAATGTAACAGCTCTAAAATAGATCATAATTCTACACCTGCCCTCTAATGTAAATTTAATTCATTTCATATTTAATCATGATCTGGGAATGCAACAACTTCAGAATAAGCCATATAGGACTTACCGATTTAGTAAATCTTTCATTAATACATAATTACCTGGTGTTTGGGGGTTTAGTTTTGGTTTTGACATTTTCCTCCTGCTTGGTACACATGTAGCAGACATGTTATAATGGGTCTGATCCATGATCCTATTCAACAAAAATCAGTGATAGATACAGAAGCATGCATAGGGATCCACTACTACTATCTATATTACGTGATTATTTTATCATAATCAAAAACAAATATATTATATATTATATATATATAGTACCTATATAACAAATAGGTAAGCTCCTGTGTGGAATTTCAGTATTTCATTAATCCAATGTCCCTAAAAGCTGATACTAAGACTGTTGCACTAAGACTAAGAATTTGAAAAATAAAACACATTTGAATGCATGGACTAACCCTGTATTTAAACACTGAAGCTGCATGCAGCCCTACATGCACCTTTATTGCAGTGCATAGTCTTCAAGACCACTGCCACCATCACTGCCCACTAATACTCCCAGCCAAAAAAAAAATAAGGCATGACGGCACTACGTCAAATAAACCCTCTACGGATGTATCCGACCGTCAAACAATCCGTATGACATCGACATACCCTAAACATTAAATTTAGAAAGGCATATTCAACACTCAATGTTCACAAAACAATCAAGACTCGCTATAACATTACCGCCCCTCGGCGAGATCACTTCATACATAATACGCCCCCATTTCTCGCCAGCCAATGAGAAATCGCTCTTCCCACAACACACCAAAAGGGGCGGGTCTTCACGAGACAACAACCTATCGCTGGTGACTGCAGGTCCTAGATCAGATTTTGACACGCCTCTGTTGTTACACCTTGCTGCGGTTGATGCGCCTTAACTGAACTGGGGTCAGTCTGTATACAGAATTTAACCAATTTAGTTTGATCTATATCAACTTTCGGTTTCAATACACTAGAAATGAGCGGCGCAGGGTCTTCTTGGTTTCCCAGTGGACTAACGTGGATTAATTCAAACACATGGAGGTCCACCAAGGAAAAGGTACAATTAACAGACGTTTAATATCTTTTATTTACCAGCTAATATTAATAATACAAAGCACACTACTGTTGCTTCAAATATTATGGGTATGTGCTGGCAAGGAAGTCTATATAAAAGGGTGCTTGTGTCAGGGTTAAAATATAACTAACAGTTACCATCTTTATTTCCAAACTTTCAAGAAGGGAAGAGCTCTCCGACAACAAATCAATGCAATCTCTCAATCTTCTGTCTTGGATGGTATGTAGGCTATGTTACCTGATAATGTTTATAATGCCATTTATCTATCACACCTCCAAGAAAAATGTAAAAAATAAATGTATTAAACTAAGCTCTTGCAGTGTGACATGCTACATTGTCCACCTGTTTCTAGATGTAGGAATTGATGATGCTCAAGTCCTTACTTTGACCAGAGAGGATCTGAATGAGCTTTTTCCAGGTATTAAGAACTTTCAGCTCAGAAGGACCTTTATGGCGCTTATCACGGACACGGTGAAGGTAATGTCTTAGGTCAAGATGCTGGTGGAATTGAACTTAAGTGGCCCTCCAAAAATATTTGCACACTGAAGTTACTCCTAAAAGTTTAGGATAGGGGTCACCAAACTCGGTCCTGGAAGGCCATGTCCTGCAGAGTTTAGCTCCAACCCTAATTAAACACACCTGAACCAGCTAATCAAGGTCTTACTAGGTATACTTCCAGGCAGGTGTGAGGCAAGTTGGAGCTAAACTCTGCAGGACACGGCCCTCCAGGACCGAGTTTGGTGACCCCTGGGAGTTTTGTGGTATTAGATAACAAGATATCAGTGGCATATTTTTTTTTTTAACAATGACTTCTAACCAACAAGTACCAAACTATATTTTGGATGCATGTTTTAGGCCATTTGCTCCAAACTGAAGTTCAAACAGGTGTAGTTCATCACTTGTGGAACATGTTCCACTAACATTTGACAACCAGAAGGTGTGCAAATATTTAATATGAATATACTTCAATATTAATATAATATTAATTGTGACTTTTTGGGGTAATTTTATATATTTAACAGTAAAATGTTACAGAAACCAAATATAATGTAAACTGAGTAAATTGCATGCATATGTGCATGCTCCATAAATTGTATTTGTTTATATAATAGATAATTGAGTATTCATCTGTAATTATTCATTATTTGATTCTTAAAAGGATTCGCTTCGACCTGGCCCAGAAACGTTTGCCGGTGCACTGAAGCATTTAATGCACAAAAACAAAAGCAGTGAGTTACTTATGACTTACAAATCTACCATTTTCAGTTGTAGCAGAGAACCAAGGGAGTTCTCTTTGTAAAAGGCATGCTTCATAGTAGTCTTACGACTTTTTCCTAGATGATGCCGCTGTACAGGATGTTTTGAAGGAGTCCCTTCGAGCTTTTAGAGAAGTGGAGGATCAGCTCAAAGCAGCACAGGCATCTTTGAAACCGTACATTGAGGTCTTGAACAGTTTCACTGAGGCATCAGCTAGACAAGAGGACTGGGATACAGAGGGAACGTCAAGCAGGAGAAAATTTCCAAGCTCAGTCCAAAAAGATATGACCTCTCCAACCATACAGACTACTTTTGGTGAGTAAGAGTTAAGAGTACATGCCCTTCTTCCCATCATCCAAGTGCTCAAAACCACATTTTTTCAAATTTAACTTTGTTGTAAGAATAAGAGATTAGAAAAATGTATTTTTGCATTATTACAGTGGAGTCCTGAAATTAGAAAGCACTTGGTGAAAGTGTTTCCATTCAGCATTTTTCTAAAATAATAGTTTTTATTACAAACATAATTTGAGTAAAAAGTTGAATTGAAAAACCTTAAATATTTCAATTAATAATTAAACTCATGTCATAACTCAAGGTTAAAATGAAATTAAAAATCAATGTGGTCTCACAATTTTGGGCCCCCACTTTTCATACCAACCCTTTTTTTGCAGAGCCTTCAGTTAGAGTGCTTCCACTTGTGTGCGGTCAAACCTTGGGAACTGACAGGCACATTCTTGCACAACTTAATGGAGTTAGAGAAAGCGAATTACGGGACTGTCAGTTGATACTGGTCTTCTGTCCTGTGGTCTCACGAGCTGGAACTGACATTGAAGAAGCACTGAAGAAAATTTCAGGTAATTATTAATTAAAACAATGTTCAACTAGTTTTCACATCACATCTTAATATTGTATTTTAGAGGAAAGTAGCTAATTTTTGTTAAGGTTAATGTCAATATATCAAGCAACATGATATATACAGGTTCATTGAAACAAATAATGGTTTAAGAACTAGTCTGCAAATTAGTCTTTCATAGGTCATTAGCCCTTCATACTTGCAACATCTTGAACTTTAGACGATTTAAAATGTAATTCTAATGTTAAGTTATTCTTCACGGGAAAAAAAAAAATCATTTTGTTTGTCTTCACAGCTGATAAACCAGCAGTACTGGTGACAATGCACCATACCTTCAACCCTAACTACGTGTGTCCCAGCTTCAATGTAGCATCATCTCAAATGAACATTGTGGAACATGTTAATGTGCTCTTCCATGATTCGTACCATGGTCTTCTTGTGTGTCCAGCAAATAATAATGCAATGATCAAACTTCAGTCTGTCTTAAACCGGTACAAGTAAACAGGTCTTGCATCAAATGCTTTAACTGTCAAACGCTGAAAATGACAATTCAATGTATTTTTTATATGGTCATATAAGTGGACAAAAATAACAAGCCTGCTAATAAACATTTAAGACTGGTGTGTTGATTCCAAAAATTTTATATATTCAGACAATTTTATCACAATTTTTTAGTAAGAAAGCCAATAGCAGGAACATTAGAAAAACACCTTTTTCAGCAATGCTCTGATATCAAACCATAATGCTTTCAAGTTCTCACCTTCATGTAGACACGTTTAAATTAATGTACATCTCACACATCAGAGACGTGATACCTCATTCATCATTAATATCCTAGCTTTTTAAAATGGATTATGACTAAGTAGTTGTGGTAGTTTTACAAGCGAGCTTGTAGCCAACCTACACTGATAACACGTAAGTGACTGTAGCAGGTGCATCAAAACCTGCCCTGATTACTGAGCTTTTCTTTCAGGAACTTCCCTTTATCATACTTTGGCCAATATTGTGCACAATATTCACAAACCGAAATAAGAAAAATAAACATTGTAATGCTTTCATAAAAAGTTAATATACTGATTTAGGGAGACGGTCCTCACAAGCGTAGTCCGGCAACCTGGAAAAAACTGTTGGCTTGGTTATGAAATGTTCTACAGCCAATCGCCACGCCTGATGAGTAACCAACTTTCCCCGTTATAGGAATTTCCATAGGAACACCGATACATTCGTTTGAATAGCATTCTTTGCACCACACGACCATGGATAACCACGGACATTATTTCCCATTAACACACTCAAAAGGGAAAAACAAAAGCCAAAAACATGTATGACGGTACGGTTGAGACAATTGAGACAAAAGTGCCGTTCGTTTACATTCGAGTGACTGGCCAGAGCATTTTGTGCTTATCCAAGTTTCTCTTGTTTAAAAAGCCCTGTGTGTCACTGGCTTGGACCTTTCTTCTTATTGCTCCAGTAATTGCTGTAGGCCTCTCTAAACATGTTTTTGCAGCATAGCTTAGCATTCAGGCGGGAGCAGATGAGGAAGGAGCCGCCCATTTTGCGGTGCAGGGAGTAGGTTTCTTCGGGTGGAGGGATGAGGCGCTGTTTCAGCATGACAGGTATGAGGTTGTGGATGCGCTCCGTGGTGCTCTGCAATCCAAAGTCAAATGGCTCTTTGGCGGCAAAAGCCTCACCCAGGATCATCACCGCATCCACGTGGGCGTTCACCATGGCCTGAATGAGGAGAAGAGGTTGTTAACATTACTGTTGTATGTGTAGCTTAAAACAAAAATATCTGGTATATATACACGACCTTAGACTCGTAACCAGTCAAGAACTTCATATCTATGGATCGCTTCAGCACTCCTTCCCGATCATTATCTGCTGCAGCCTTGATGATCTGTTTTAAAGAGGAAGATACAATCAGTTAAAGAAATAAAATATCCATTTAAATAAATGTTTACTTTCAATTTTATATGTCTTACCTCAATATAAACATCAGTGAAACTCTCATCAAACCCTCTTGTTGCACCAAAGTCCAGCAAAGCAACCTGTGGATTGAAGAACAGCTTGATTATTAAAACACACCTAAGAGATGAAGCCAAAACAATATACTTACTTTTGATTTACTGTACAAAATACTCAAATCGATAAATAAAATCAATATATACATACACTATGGTTCAAAAGTTTGTGGTTGGTAGGAAGTTAATATAAATGTTACATTTATATGATAAAATGTTGTATGGTATAAATGTAAAGTTTTTTTTAAAATCAAAGGTAACAGTAATATTGTGAAATACTATTATCATTTAAAATATCTGTTTGTATTTAAATATATGTAATTTATTCGTGATGGCAATGATGAATTTTCTGTAGTCATTACTCGTCTTTAGTATCACATGATCCTTCAGAAATCATTCTAATATGCCGATTTATTGTTCAAAAATCATTTCATATTGTAGTTATTATATTGCTGCGTAATATTTTTGTGGAAACTGATTAAATTTTTTTTTTTTAGAGGAATAGGAAGTTCAAAAGAACAGCATTTATTTGAAACAGAAATATTTTGGAATATCATAAATGTCTTTACTGTCAATTCTGATCAATTTAATGCATACTTGCTGAATAAAAGTATTAATTTCTTTGAAAAATTCTTACTGGCCCCAAACTTTTGATCAGTAGCGTATTTACCTACAACACCAATCAAAGGTTATTAATTCCTATTTTCTACATTTTAGATTAACAGTGAAGTCTTCAAACCTATGATGTAACAAATGAAAGTAAGGGAATTATGTCGTGACCAAACAAATGTTTAATACATCAAAACACTCTTATATTTCAGCTTCTTCAAAGACACCAGGATTCAAGCAGGTTTAAAGCAAATTAAGCCAAGTGTGTCTAAACCAGCAGTGTAAATAACCAGGAAAGATCAGTGATCGTGAACATAGCTCTTACCCTGTGGGTTTGTGGATCATAAAAGAAATTGGACCAGTTAGGATCTGTCTGCATGTATCTGAACTCAAACAACTCCCTCAGACACAGGCTGAGGATGTTCTCGCAGATCTGTGCAAAAATAACAAGTATGGTTACTACACCTGCACTGCCTTAAATCCATAGTAATTATGCTTTAATGAATATTTAGTACTTAGTATAATGTCATAAATCAGTTCTAACGCAAAACAAAATACTGTTTTATTGCAATGTTTACAAACTACGTAACTGATGAGCATTTAAATCATAGTTGTATGGTATGTTTAAAAATTTCAGTCACATTTATTGCCTTCATGTAAGTCTGCATCATTTCCTCTATTTATGGTTTGATCAACACAGTTTATTTTTTATTTTTTAACTGCATTCCTTAATGTTTTTTTCTTTTTTGGTATGGACATGACCTTGTTTACACTTTGCCCTACTAATGCAATAAAACACTTCCACCACTAGGTGGCGATAATGCTTCAGGAAGATCACTGGCTTCCAGACTGGCCACGTTTGAGACCATGTGACTCAGGCATCATACAAACCCGATTCCAAAAAAGTTGGGACACTGTACAAATTGTGAATAAAAACAGAATGCAATGATGTGGAAGTTTTATTTATTTAAATTTAAAAAAAAAAAAAAAAAAAAAAGATTTGTGTCACCAAGAGGTGGCACTCACAATTCTTCAGAGTTTATGCTTCCCTTGTGAAAAAGAAGTGCACTTAAATTGTATCGAGTGTGTCCTTGTAGTGTACTTCAAATCTTAAAAGTATATTTAAAAGAAATTGTACTAGCAGATAATATAATATTATTGAAATAAACAACCACTTAATGTAGAGCCCTTTATTATGTCAAATGTAAGATTTACTATAAAGTACAATTTTAAGTCATTAGGTTTTATTCATCTTTTGTCATGCTTTAAAAAAAATGACAATACAAATTTCAATAGAAATTAAAGTATAATTTAGTTATATAAATGCTTGTCAGTACATTCGGCAGTACATCACCATATTTCAAAGACAGTAAAAGTAATTATGAAATTACATATAAACATATACATAAGTCCTACTTAAGTGGGTCAAAAAAGCACTCATAAGTTCAAATAATTGCATTTAATATAAACGTAAACTACATTTAATTGCAATTAAGTGCCTGAAAACAAGTTCATAAGTATATAATTTATTTTTTAAAAGTATGCTAAAATGTACTTGTTTTTCCACAAGGGTTGGCAAGACATTAAAAAATATCTTGGGTATCTGGCAAAAAGGAGGATCGACAACATTATGGTGGCATTTTCAAGCTTAAATGAAAGTTCAGACTATGTTTGGAGGATTAGGCTTCTCTGACAGCTGAACATTTAACTGGCATTGATCATGCAGCAGTTGATGCTGCTCGTGTGCGTGACTCTGGGGCTCTGACTGGTCAGCGTGCAGCCTGAGATCTATCAACCCACTGAGACTCAACAGGCCCTGAGCTCCCAGTTCTCAGTTTGAAACACACTAAACATAGATCCGAGTGTACTGACACTATGTTCTTGAAAATAATGGGGTCAATGAAAGTTTCCAAATCAGTGCAATTTCATAAGTTTATTATTTCGACTTACTACGCATGTAAAAGGGATAGTTCACCCAAAAATGAAAATTCTGTCATTAATTACTCACCCATGTTCAAGGTCCAGAAAAGTACCAAGATGATCAACAAAAAAGTATTTTCGTAGCTTCGTAACTTTACAGTTGAACCACTGATGTCACACGGACTACTTTGTCGATCATCTTGGTATTTTCTGGACCTTGAACGTGGTAGTTACCTTGCTGTCTATGGGAGGGTCAGAGAGCCCTCAGATTTCATCAAAAATATCTTAAATTGTGTTCCAAAGATGAACGAAGGTCTTACGGGGTTTGGAACAACATGAGGGCGAGTAATTAATGACAGAATTTTCATTTTTGGGTGAACTAACCCTTTAAAATATTCCTAGCCAAAATATTTTAGAGCCTACAAAAATGCACACTACCTTTCCAAAGTTTGAGGTTAGTACAATTGAAGAAAATAATATTGTATTAAAATAATCACAAGGGACAGTAAATAAATGTATTTCACATAAATGATGTTCTTCTGAACTTTCAAAGACAGTTTCCACTAAAATATTAAGCAGCACAACCGTTTTCAACATTGATAGGAATAAGACATTTTTTCTTGAGCTCCAAATCATATTAAAATGATTTCTGAAGGATCATGTGACACTGAAGACTGGAGTAATGATGCTGAAAATTCAATTTTGCCATCACGGGAATAAATTGCATTTTAAAATATTGAAATAGAAAAAAAAATATTTTAAATTGCAATAATATTTCAAAATATTGCGGTTTACCTTTTTTTTTTTTTTGTATCAAATGCAGCCTTGATGAGCATAAGAGACTGCTTTCAAAACTCAAACTTTGAAATGGTATTGTATACTTACTGTAAAAAAAAAAAAATGCATTAATTTTTAAGATTCTAAAAAGTCTCTAAAATCAATATTTGCAGGGTGACCGTAGGAACCTTGACAGAATGAGGTGCAACCTGCATAACAGTGTCTGCTTCTTAAAATACGACATTATACTAATTTGGATCGGGAAATAACCAGAGGCGGCCACATTTTGACACATATGAGCACTGAAGAAAGCATGGGCTGAAACGTCTGCTCTTTGGTCTGTTTTTAATACACTTTGCACTTTTGCATATGGATAATAAAAACTACATTTTTGAGAGACCTTTTTTGGTCTGATTGAAAAAAATTTTTTCAGTGTCCGGACATATTCAGCGACTTGTTGGACTAAAACTTTCACCCTTTTGCTCTACGCACCTGAGAACTCATTGTTCTTTTTGAGCGCACACAATTCCTGTTTGACACATATGCCATCCACATGCATCCAATAATTTGTCTAAAATTAAAAAAATCAAATGTATGTGTATTCAGATCATAAACATTAGGCAAGAGGTCATCACCTTCAGGAAGGGCATTGCTCATGCTCAGGACAGTCATCAGGTTATTCACGTCACTGTTGATGCTCTGTGCGACTCCGGGGTACTGCAGGAACCAAGAGTATGTTACACTGGGCTCAGAAAACATTATGCAGTAGCAGTTCATTTCGTTCAAACCGGTGAGAGCATCAGGCAGTCAGACATGGACTGCTGACAACAAAAAAACACCTCCAGCAAAACAGCCTTGACTTTGTTGAGCACATTTTTGGGGGCTAGTTTATTTCAGAACATTTCAAAACTGTTTGTTTTACTAAAAAAAGTAGAGAGGAGAGATGCCAGACTTATCTAATCATAAACATTCAAGTCGATATCGTTTGCAAAAGCAGTTAGCGGTTATTGCTCTTTGGACTTCAAGCAGTCGGTGCTCCAAATTAACCTATTAAAAGGACTGTTAAAAAAGGGCATTTTACATGCACATAATAGGAGGAAAGCTTTGTTTGTGATTTTGATGTGGAATTTGCTAACACAAACAAAACAATATACTACTGCTGCTTCAGCTAAATGCTAAAGAAACCGTTCTCCTCTGAATGATGCAACCAACCTGGATTTTCATGGCGACCTCTCGACCGTCTTTCATCCTGGCCAGATGCACCTGACCAATGGATGCAGCAGCAAAGGGTCTTTCCTCAAACATATCTAGTTTCTCCCTCCAGTTCAGTCCCAGGTCATTGTTCAAGGCTTTCTGCACAGATTAAAAAGCAACAGATGTGTATTTAAAAAAATTAAATAAAAAACTGAATTTATATGATTTTCAGATGTGAAACATTTAAATATTTTGTGGTTTAAGTAGACTGTACCATCATCTGTCTGATGGGCATGAAGTCAGCACTCTGACGCACACGTTCGAAGATCTTGGCCAGCTGTGGGTTGATGAATGCATCATCTGAAACATTAAACACGCATCCAATGTTGAAATAGTATAGTGCTACTCTTCTACAAATGCCAAATGAAAATGATGGCCCAGTTAATAGGTGGTATTAACATCCTTCCTGGGTGATCCGATCACAAGTGCTCAGCAGAAAGATTGCCAATTACATTAACATCAAATGTGTTTCCTGTGACAATGCATTTGAACTATTAATGCAGCAAACTGCTAAACTGCTTGTTAACTATAAAAAGTGTAGATACACAATCATTTACTATCAAGTTGTAATGTTTAAAAAAAAAAGTATCTTATGCTCACCAATGCTGCATTTATTTGATCACAAATACATATTGTGAAATATTACAACTGAAAATGTTAAAGGTGACATATCATGAAAATCTGACTTTTCCAGGTTTTAAGTGCTATAATCAGGTCCCCGGTGCATCTACCAACCCAGGAAATGTGAAAAAGATTAACCCAGTAACTGTTTTGGTAAGCCTTTTTCTGCAAGCGTCTGAAAAAACAAGCGTGTCAGATTTCGCTCCCTTGGTGACTTGGCAAAGTGATCTTATTATAATATTACCGCTCCTTAATCTGTAAGTTTCCACCCATGGCGCCGTCATTGTGTTTTCGCTTGAGCTGATACTTTCTGAAACACATTCTGGGGACACCAGAGACTTATATTACATATTGTAAAAAGGGGCATAATATGTCTCCTTTAAATAAATTTCAATATATTTTAAAATAGGATTTATTCCTGTGATGGCAAAGCATATTTTTCAGTGTAACCTGATCCTTTAAAAATCACTGAGAAACTCTGATTGAACTGTGATGTATAAACATGGTAAATATGATGCATGTATAAACATGGTCAAAATCACTGTAAAGAATGGCCTCTCAGGGCTTATTTTTGTGCAAAGGTTCGCTGATAGGCGAGCAGGTGTCCCTGTGAGTAGCTGTTGTTTAGGACACATTAGTTTACACACAACAAACGTGATGTGGTCAAATGCTTTCCTGACCTTTGAATGTGGTTTGAATGATTGGATCACTTTGCATTTCATGCTGCCCACTTATGATTGGATCACTCAAGGCAGATGATGCTGATTCCAGGTATAACGGGGGCCTGTTTTTTCTGCTTCACATAAAGTTCTTATATAAAAAGAGTGTTTGCAAATGCCCAACAATACAAAATAGTCTTGCATTCCATCTTGCTTATTCTTTAATAAATCTGTTGTCATGTGGCATGTTTACTGGGCTGCAGTGCACAGTCAATCCAAACATGTAAACAGGATTTTAGAGATGGTTTCACAAGAACTAACTGTGTGACAGATGTACGCCACTGTAAACACTCAAGTCTTAAGGAGCCAGTGAGAGAAAGAAAGGGAGAGATGAGTGAGAGAGAGAGAGAGAGAGAGAGAGAGAGAGAGCGCTAAACAACAACTTGCTTGATCCAAACCCAGTGAAATGCAGAACTGCTAGAGAGTTGAAGGCTTCTAGAATCGAAGATTTTCAATTTGACTGCCTCTATGTACATCAAAAGTGACTATTAAAAAAAAAGCTTATTTTTACAGTTGCCATGGTTTTTTATCCTGGTTCACTTCTTTGACCCAGATTAGTCCGATGACCTCACATTTTCTCAGCTGATACGGTTGCTGAGGAATGTGGGCTACTAAAACCCTATTCAGACGGGACTAGTTTTCCTGAAGGAGGTTCGAGAAATCAAGTGTCAATAAATCATATGTTTCATAACCAACATTAGAACAACACTTCAGTTTGGACATGTCTTGATGGGTAATTGTGTGTGCTGTCCTTTCAAAACTTCCTGAGGTGTAGCATATAGGTCACGTTTCTGGCATAGCTGTGGGCTTATTTTGAGCCTTGCTGATGCCAGCGCTGTCGCTGTCTTTCACTGCCAGTCGTAGGGATCTGCAGCTTACAAAATACTGCCTATCTTAATGAGAATGATGCAGTGCATGAGTCCAGTGCATGAGCAGCGGCCGAGGTTTGGAAATGTCATGCAGAGAGGCCATGCTACAATAATCTATGTGCTGCATTCTTGATCGGGTGACACAGATGCTTTTGTTCTCGCTTTCCAATACACACTAATGCACACAGAGCGGGGGAAAATTACCTCACATGCCTACCAGAAATAATCAACATATTTGCACAGAAAAGAGAGCCATTTTTGTCACAGAAGAAGTCAGACAATGTTCGAGTTGCTGGTCAATGCAGATAGAAGGATTCAAGGACGTGAGGCGACAACAGGCAACTTTTCAAGAGTTATGAACTGGAAAGCAAATCGTCTCTGTTATCCATGTTATTTACAGTACAGTTTGAGGACCCTAAACAGTTAGCAAGCAGAAAAGTTAGCATCCATTTTCCACCACTGAGTGGAAAATAACGCAGGAAGGACGCATGAGGTTATTTTATCTTTAGACATTTGCATATCAGAGAGGAAATAAATCGCATCTCCAATTTCTCTGCACCTTTCTGTAAGAGGATTACGGTCACTCATATCATCAGGCTGTAAACCCGAAACAGGCCTCGATCACGTACCAGTCTAACTTGAGAGCGGCCATGACTTACAACCATCCCAACACTGGAAGCAGCCGTGGGTTATGAATCCTATCAGTCTTGGAGGACGCCTCGATGGCCCTAATAAATCCTTGAGGAGTGACCTGGTCTAAACGTGGTGACTTGTTATATACAGTACAAACAGCATTCTCTTACCCTGTATACTGAGCATTTGGCCGAGCTTGAGGGCCGCGCCACGCACTTTACACAAAGTCCTGACGATACGCTCTGCATTGGCCTCCGAAAGGAAGGGGCTGTTGTCCAAAACTGCCTTCTTTTCACCTATGTGAAATGACAAGAATCTGTCAACATTTTGGACTGAATATACAACTTAAAGGAATAGTTCACCCAAAAATGTAAATTTCCTGACTGTCAGGCCATCCAAGATGTAGATGAGTTTGTTGTTTCATCTGAACAGATTTGAAGAAATTTAGCATTACATCACTTGCTCATCAATGGATCTCCTGCAGTAAATGGGTGCCATCAGAATGAAAGTTCAAACAGTTGGGTTTATTAAAAAAATAAAATAAAAAATCAATCCACACAACTTCACTCCATTAATTAATATCTTGTGAAGCAAAAAGCTGTATGTTTGTGAGAAACAAATCTATCATTAACATGTTTTAACTTTAAATCCACCAACATATTTGTTTAGAACTTACTTGAATTTTAACTTATAAATGGTGCTTGATCTGTGCATATTTCTCTCCGTATTTAGACGAGACAACATTTTTATTGGAGAAAGCATTATTATGGATAGAAGGCTCATCATTTTAGCCCCAAAGCAATGGTTTGAATTTAAAAACATCTTGAAGAATTTGTGTATTATAAACATGCAGGACTGGATTCATGTGGATTACTTTTGGATTATTGTGATGCTTTTATCAGCTGTTTGGACTCTCATTCTGACAGCACCCATTCACTACAGAGGATTCATTGGTGAGCAAGTGATGTAATGCTAAATCTCTCAAAATCTTGGATGACCTGAGGGTGAGTATAATTTCAGCAAATATATATTTTTGGATAAATTATTCCTTTAAAAAACAAAAATATTCAACACAGTAATGCCTAATGGGACAAATGGACCCATGTTTTTTATACAGATGTCCAAAAATCTCAGACAACCACTGTATGTGCCATTTGAAACAAAAAAGAGAGTCTGTGTTGCTGAGAACCATTTGTCCATGTAAACAAAACCCCACAAACTATTGGATCGGGGTCTTCATTATCTTTGTGAGGACATTAGTGCTATTCCTGGATGTGATGATGAGGTCAAAGGTAATCATTATCCCGCACGTCGGGTGTCTACATATATAAGATCTAGTTACAGGCCGCTGTCCTCAGAACACATTTACACTCAGAGTTCCGATATGCAGTCAGACTGACACAATGCAACTCTGTAGATAGCTAAACCATGAAATATCTGCAAATGACCAGTTTAACAGGAATCTAGTATTCTCTTAATGTGCTGAACAAAGCTTTGAGCATTTAGTTGCAAGCAAGAAATGTTTTTAGCATTTTTCAATGACACTTTTCAAATAATTGAAAAGTTTTTAACCCAATATTCAAAATGAAAGTAATTTTGAGAATTGGTTATTGGGGGAAAAAACTTAATTAATCTGAAAACTGAGAACATGTTATTACAGCCCTGAAGTCAAAGACTTTGTCTTTTTAACAAAAAACAAAACAAAATATAACATCCACAAAGTAAAACGTACAGCATTTAAAGACAACCCTAAATACTAAAAATAAATTAAGCATTTAAAAAAAAAAATGTATAAAAAGGGACAGCAAATAAATTAAATCATATTAAATTAATTTGCATTCAGAATTCTTCATTAAAGCTTAATAACTTACCTCTGCAAAGTAAAATAAAAGAATCAAATAAAATGTTTGTGTTTATAATCTTTAATTAAAATTTTATGACTTTCTAAATCTTCACAACAACGGCATGCAGCAAATGCTGTTTCACGTTGCCTTTAAACATGCCAAAACAACAGTGGCAGTGTATATGTCCGACTAAAGCTCTCTCTGTTCCATAAGAAGATTTGAAGTTGAGCTGAGAGATCCTGGATGATGGGAGGGGTGCACATATTTGCATGCACAAACGGTGAACAGGTGAAACATTTCAAGAATGAAGGACAAACTTTTAAGAAGAGTACATTTCAATAATGTATTGGCATTTTTCATTCCAATTACACAGATGCATATAAATATTTTAACGGCTCATTTCTACATTAAAACGGCCTCTCAGCCTTGACAGCAGCCTAATTTAAGTGCACTTTAGACCAGGACACACTGTAAATGTTACTGTGTGTATATTATTATACATACAGTCCAAATTAAGCAAACAGACAGTCAGAAGAGCAATGGTGCTCTCCTGTCTAAGAGTAAATAATACTGTACACACTCTAGATTTTCAGTACTGCTTGTACTGAAAAAAAGGATAAAAAAAAAAAGGAAAGATCTTTTCACTGCTATAAAGGATGCACACTGGTTAAGATCAGGGTTGCTGTGGGTTCTGGTAGGTAGTGCACATGTGTTTATCATAAATACCCACAATCTCCTTCCAATTCTTTCCTGTCTCCTCACTCACTATCTCTCTGTTAATGAAATGGTTTAAAGTCCAAAAAGAAAACAAACAAAAAAACTCTAATAGCATGCAATTTATCACTTGTAATCACACTATGCCAGATAACATCTCAATAATCAATAAAATGTTCTAATGAACGTTTTGCTGTTCTAAGAGCAAAACACAAAAGTGACATTTCATTCACTGACGTGCTTCACTCAGCAGTGCTAAACCTGGCAGTGCATATACTTTAATGGGTCACACTATGTCTCTCCAGGTGCTATCATGAGAACCAGACTAAAAAAAAAACTAATAACAATACATTGTAATGATCCTAATTGTAACCGTACAGTTCAATTCTAGTAGTTAATGCAATTGTCTTACCATTCTTCTCCTCTGATCTCAGGCTTTTCTTTGCCACTTCTGCCAAAGCTCCAATACCCAAACCCACAGCAAGACCTGCAAGAGATTAAAAAACAGAAAGTAAATGGTCCATAAATGTACAGAAGTTAAATACTGAAACAGTCATTATCTCACACCTAAAATCAGCACCATGTAAACAAAACTTTTTAAAAAATGAGCTGTATCTCTTAAGACTGATTTGTGAAAAATACCCACTACAACACTGGAGCTGTATAAATGTCAACTTGACAAAAGGAAACACCAAAATAGCATTTCCAAACCACTGTGATCAGCACACATTTGCTGTGGCAGAGCTGAGAATCAATAACAAGTTTTGGTGCAATCTTCAGTAGTTATGTAATTTTGTTATTATGCAACACTTCTGCTTTTGAGAAATTTGGGAGGGGCTTCAAGTCAGTTGTAAATCAAGCAGTGAAACTAAACCTCAGTGTAAACCAGCAAAAAATGGGGCCGACATGTTTTCACCCTGGTGTTTTTTTCAATAAGTATTAACACGCTTTACAGAAACACGTGTAGATTTGATGCTGACTCTTATCCCGCTAAAGTTTTTCATTAAAACTGCTGAGGAAGTTCTAGGTCAGTTGTGGTTGATGATTAAACAGGTTCCTGTTTTTATGTCTCTTTATGGCTGCAGGAGTTTAAGCACTACAGGAAAGCACAAGGGCCATGCCACGGTTCTCAACAACTGCAACATCTGAAGCACTGTACTGCATTTTCTCTTTTTAAAGATAACATTTGCGTTCCATTGTGCATGCATAGACTAATCAACATATTTGCGCAATCCAGGAAGTAAAAGTTCCAATCAAAAATAAGTATAGGATTAAAAAAAAAGAGTTCAGTGAGATCTTTTTTGAAAGATTAAATTAATAGATTTATTCAGGAATAATGCCTTAAATTGGTCACAGTAAATGCATTTATAAATATTATAAAATATTTCCATTTCAAATAAATGCTGTTATTTTGAAATTTCTATTCAAAGAACTCTGAAAAAAAAAGAATCACCCTTTACACAAAAATATTAAGCAGCACAACTGTTTTCACCATTAATATGAAGAGCAGCTTGTAACACTCCAAAGAGAAAGGAAAACTTGAAATCGCATCATATGACCCCTTTAAAACAGTCATTTTTAATTGCAATACTATTTCACAATATTACTGTTTTAGTGTATTTGTCATCAAATACATGCAGCTTTGCAAACATAAGAAACTGTTCAAAAACATTAACCAATCGTACCAACCCAAAACTTTTGAACTACAATTACTACATATACTATTATAGCTACTTATTCTAAATTCAGAAACATCACCATAATATTTGCACATATTGTCAAAGCAGGGCTCTTCTTTTGCACGCTGGCACAGTGCTTTAGATGGCTTTCCGATTGCCCGATAGCATGACCAAGGACACTACGGGCCCAAGTCTCATATTCCAAAACAGAGGGGTATGCTTCTGAACATAAACACAAGGTAAACAAAATGAACATGCTGCCTAAAAACAGTTGTTAGAGCACTGATTTAAGGGCTACCTACAGTCACTAAAATTGAGATGAAGAACGCAACCACATGAAAGCCTGCCAAAGTGATGGATACTATTCTCAGACGCAATTAATCACTATTTTAACTATCCAACGAGAGCCAGAGGAATGGAGCCAGAGAACGGTTGAACTGGATAGCTCATGTCCAGGAGTGAGGTCAAGGTGGGGACAGATACATTTATCACATTAAAGGGGTCATATGACGTTGCTAAAAAGAACAATGTTTTGTACATTTGGTGTAATGCAATGTGTTTATGCGGTTTAAGGTTCAAAAAACACATTTTCCACATACTGTACATTATGGTTGCTCCTCTATGCCCCGCCTTTCTGAAATGCGTTGAGTTTTACAAAGCTCATCGTTCTGAAAAGCGAGGTGTGCTGTGATTGGCCAGCTATCCAGTGCGTTGTGATTGGCTGAATACCTCAAGCGTGTGACGGAAATGTTACGCCCCTTACCATACTGTGATGCCGTGTCCCGGTGTGACGAGACAAAACCAATAAAACCAATTACAAACATGTATGGGAAACTGGTAATGTATATCGAAATATCGGAAATGTGTTTAAAAATCATATCACCGTTATTGAAAAAAATAATATTGCGATACATATTGATACTGAATTATTGTCCAGCCCTAACGGATTATAATGACTTATACTGTCTTTTTACGTGTTGATTATCGCATCGCGTAAACATAAAACCATGTCTGCATTTGTGATTGGAGAAACGACAAACAACAAGCGCTACTCTTCACTG